TTTTTCATATCACGATATGTTTTTTTCATTTCAGGCGATAACGATATATATCACGATGTAAGCCAAATAACTATATTTGTAAGATTTAAATGTACCATTGCTCACGAGTAAAATGTCAAATAATCAGCAGCTTGTTTTGATTTAAATATTTATTTCCCATAATAAGTTCAACAGGGTAGATGTACTTAAGGAACATGAGACTTTTTTAGATAAATGAAGGCAAATATTGCAAACTACACAAAAGGCAGCCGCTAAAGCGTTTAAGTTTCAAAATAGAACAAACAAAACAGACGACTAAATTGTCAGTTCCACTTAGAAACAAAATATTAATTCTAAAAACAAATCTTAGTTTGTTTTACAGAATAACAGACAAAGTGACTAACTTTTGTCAATATCAAATAAACTGAGAACTAAAAGGAAATTCTCAATTTCTCCTTGTTGTATAGCTTAGCTTTTTAAACAGTTTTAATAGTTACTTTAGTCTGACAAAAGCCGAATGACAAATTAGCGCTTCCAGTCAGAGATTGAGCATGCACCGGTTTATTGTATTCCCAGACTTGCTTTCGGCACAATTTACAGTGCGAGCTACTCTGTTTTTTGTCAGACTTGAAATAGCCGAAATACCTTCACACTACGGAACTTCTATGGCTCTTCAGTTCGACAATCTCTCCGGCCTTGGAACCATCATCTGTTTTCTCTTCGGTAACCTTCGGTCACGCTCTCAGTTGATTTTTCTCTAGTCGGCACACTCATTTCCTCCATTACCCGGGCGGCACGGCGGCTGGCTGCTTCCCAAAAAAATACACATGTGCGGCTTGACACTTGTGCTGTACGTAACAAGTCATGTGACGTAACGCTGCGGCTGTGATTGGTTCGGCTCTGCGCTAGTTAATTTGGATTGGATGTTCCTCTTTTGTTTTGTTTTGTTTTTTTGTTTTTTTTAAGAGGACAAGAGCGGTGAGGCCTATCGCAATAGTTAAATTTTTCTATCGAGAAAAAGTTATTTCGCAATACATATCGGTCTATCGCCCAGCTCTAGTCGCTAGCAATCACGTAGCACAACATTATATACCAGATAGTCCAACTTCAGTAACCCTGCAAATGCCACTGCTGTTTTGTTTTCTGTCTTCATTTATGTTGGAAGTGGTAGCAGAGCTGTACGTTTGAATTAGTTTCAAAAATCTCTGTCAGAACATGGTATGAAATGTTTAGGTGTAAACTAGCTAGTTAAATTCCTGTTAACTTGTAACTCTGTTAACTTTAATAAATTCTGTTTTCATGGATGCATGGATGTAAAACTTAATTGTTACACCCGATAAAGTAGCAATGCTGATGATTTAATTAAAGATCAAAGAATTTAGTTTTTAACTCTTAGTGTTCGTTTGACTTTGGGACCTGAAGTGGACGGAGTTTTGGACCCAGATTATTCCGCGAAGCTCCTCACTACAGCAGCCGTAATGCTCTGACTATCCATCAAGCCGTGCGGCTTACCAAAGTTGTACTACAACATTTTTTAACAGATTTCTGCACGCAAAAATCGGTTCGAGGTCAGTAAGCACAACCAGAATTCATACATAAGGCACACTCTTGATTTTTGAGAAAATTAAAGGATTTTAAGTGTGCCTTATAATGTGGAAAATACGTTATACAGAAGAAAAGAATATATCGTGATATATATTGTTACCGCACATGCTTCAAATTAAATCGCGATATGAATTTTAGGCCATATCGCCCAGCCCTACCAACAACACACCCGGCAGAACATTATGTTATTTACACGGGTGCACATAAGTGGTCTGCATGTGCACATTCGCTGTCAAAATAAAAGATGCGCACCAGATAAGAAGTTGCAACGCGCGTTTGCGTCCATATAAAAGGCACTGTTTTTGTCCGCTAGAGTGGGATTTTCACGGCACATTCTGCACCAAATCTCTGTGCGTTCATCATTTGTTTGAAGCCAGCTCACCTCCTGCAACCACTTTTCCGAGAATACGTGCTTCTTTTGCGGTTCGGACATTTCTTTGGAGGTGGAGGAACACCAAAGTAATTGCTTAAAGGAGCTTGCTTCTTCGACATCTTTAAGAGTTCTAAACAAGTGTCTGTCCCCCTCTGGAAAATCTTATGTACGCAAACACGCGTTGCAACTTCTTATCTTGTGCGCGTTTTTTATTTTGACAGCGAATGCGCACCTGCGGAACACTTATGTGCAGCCCTGGTTATTTAGCTTGTTATATTGCAGCCACAGAAATTTGTCCATGAAACCATAAAGCTGCACTTTCTTTTTGCCTTATAGTCTGATTTGTCAGAACTTTTCCGTTTTGTGGTAAGCTTTTCTTTGGCTGTCACTTCTTAACTCTGACCTGTCTTATTTGGCTCAGCAGAACTAAAATATATATCCTGCTGCTTTTACACACACACACACACATAACGGTCAGCGATTCTCTGCGCGATCAACCTCTCAAATGTTTAAGCTTGCTGCGGGAGATTTCACTTGTCATGTTTGCATAGTAAGCTAACGATTAATAAGACGATGTCAGAGGAATTGGTGCGCAAATTATTGTCACTCACCAATCAGTGCTGTCGCTCTCTATACACAGTTTGCGCGATTGCAAAGTGAAAGCAAAAAACAAGCACAAATTCAAACGCGATTTAAATATGTCACATATTGACAGTGGCTCACCGATGCCAATGACACAATTACCCAGCTACATTTCCGAAAGAATGCAAAAGCATTGACATATATTTTTCCTTCCTACAATAGCCCGACGTGCAGGGCAGAGATAGATTTTGGTAGCCCGACTGGAAAAATCGCTAGCCCCGGGATGTCGGGCTAGCGATTTTACGAGCCCTGTGATTATAAGAGAAAACAGTTTTCATCCTGCAAGTTAGCAGATATTTGATAAACTTCTGCTGCTTTTGTTGCTAACTGCCATGGTTGATTTCCTTCCGCAAGTATCCAGAGTCAGAAGAGACTGAGAAGGTGAGGGGAGTCTGGGCAGAGGCTCTCCACCCCTGATAGACACGAGGATAGACCCAGGACATTGTGTGAAGAAGAGGAGGAGAAAAAGGAGCAAGCAGCAGCTGATAGATGCAGAGGAGAACGGGGGGAGTGCAGACAGCTCTCTGTAGTTGAGGGACTGGTAAAAACATTGAAAATGCTTTCTTGATATTTGCTTCCTGTATTTGCTGAAGTATTTCCAACACAAACTGTAACAGCTGCATACAGGGAACCACTCACTGATGTTTATCCTGCAGGACAGGATCTGACTGGGAAAGAAGGAAAAATAAGGGAACCACGGACAACTTTGATAATGTTTTGATTTATCCAGAATATATTCAGTTCAAATATTGTTTTCATCACAGTGGGATTGTGCTGGTTTCAGTGGGGAAGGTATGCAGCTCATTTAAATACAAAGAGCTGTGAAAAGTTGTTCATTTATAAAGTGTGTTAGTATTTTATAAGGATGTAATGTTTCTGTATCATTTCTCTCCTTTTAGAGCCTCTTACCCAAACATCAGCCTGTTTAGTGCTCTCATATCTTCAACCTCTTAAGTAAGTTGTACAGAACAGTTTTCTCATCAATAAAAGAATATTTACTGCATCAGTGTGTTTTCATTTCATCCGAAACACACAAGGATCAAATCTCTGACTTTATTTGAATGTATACCTTATAGATCCCCGTGGTGGAAATTCCTCTGCATTGCCTCAGGATAGCCACTGATTTGAATGTAATTCTCTCCCAGATATGTCACACAGAGCTGAAACGACAGTTTTCTCCGCTGAAAGTCAAACGAATGACATCAAATTAAGATTTTCTCTATTTCTGTCCAACATGCCGTCCACTACCGCTGTAGCTGTCACGGTTGCTTGGCAACAGAAACTGTTGTAGGCTAGACCGTCAATTCACTTCAGGTCTTCTCAGCCTTCGAAGGCTCCGGCTCTGTGACTCGGTCACCCTGGTAACTCCCAACAGCTGAGCGACAAGTATTGATAAATGTTTCTCTGCACACTGTGAAATCTAATGTGTTTAATTAAAAATATTAAGAAGACTGAACTTTTTTTTTAATCAATTTGTTATTAGAACTCAGTTTAAGTAAGCTAGCAGTTCTTTTTATTCAAGAAGCTGATCAACTCAGTTTATTTGAGTAGTGTTAAATTCTAAAAACTAAGTAAGCTTTGTAAAAACATGGATTCTGACCATCCTGAAAAGTTGCCGGAGGTACTTGATTCAGTCCACAGGATCAGTCAACGACGTAAGTCCTCTTCTGAGCTGAGTCAATAGTAACACCAAGGTTCCTGATAGGAGGTTTGGCAAATGTAACAAGTGGACCCAAGTTTTCCATAACAGTAGGTACAATTTTTTTAGGAGCACAAACAAGGACTTCAGTCTTCTCATTTAGCTGAAGAAAGTTTTCAGCCATGCAACCTCTAATGGAGTGTATGCAAAATCTGTAGCTTGGAAACATCTTGGGGCTTAAAGGAGATATATAACTGAATATCATCTGCATAGCAGTGGTAAGAAATATCCTTAAAAGTGCTCAATAAGTGCTGAAGAGGAAGTAAATACAACATTTCCAGCTCATTCAACATTTTTAACTTAACATTCAGCAGTTATTTCATTTTAGCTCAAAAACATTCAGCTATCAGCATTCACACTGCAGTTTCTTCAGAAAATTCATTTTCTAGTATTATTAATCGTGTGCTTTTGCAAATAATAATAGCAAGAAGCGCCTACAACAGACTGCGCACGCGCAATACGGAGGTTAATTTGAGCCATTGCTTCTGCAAGTTAAGTTGAGAAAAATTATAATTTCTTAAATACAGAAGCGTGACACGAGACAGACCCACAATGTGTGGGATAAGAAGTGTAGACACGAGAAACTAAACGTGTTTTAATTTTTGTTTTGAAACGCTGAAAGTTTTTTTCGTGATTGTCACTGCACCTTTAAGATAAAACCACGTGACCTTGTTGCTATAGCGTCATATCCGGACGTACTCTGTCAGTGCAATGTTTCCATAGATGTTGTGTTATCAATGGGAACGAGGAAATCCACATTTAATTAGCTGGCACAGCAACGCCAGCTGAAGCATTAAATGTCCGGTTTGTCCACATAAGTAAAAAGAGTCATCGAGTTTCTTCTCGTCTGTCAAGAAACTGCAGTAACTACCGAGTACCGTAAGTTCAAATATTGCTACCAAATTGTAGAAAAATAGCTAAGTATGCTTGTAGCCTATTGTAGCGCCAATCTAGTTTGCATCTTTACTTTAAAGTGTAATCCTCTGGGTAAAACCTGCAGTGTTTACCAAGAGAGCAAAGATTATATTTTACAGATGACTCCTAAAAGGTGTTTCGCAATACAAAACTAGCACATGTGGATCCGTTCAGCTGCTGGACTGAGCTAGCAGCTGTGTGACATTATGATCACGATAGCCCTTGGAGCAAGAGGAGCCCTCCTCAGCTTGAGGTGCACTTTGCAGAGAGCAGGCTCCTTTGCAAGACTTGGACTCATTCAGAACACCAGATCCGGTTTTGTTAGAAGGGGGCAGATTTTAACCCGCATACCCAAGATTACACTGCTATGTTGGGGTGCAGTCAACGGTTCTTTAAGTGCAGTCAGATGCCAGGAAGTTCTTGTTCAACCCCAGGCTTCGGAAAAAAAGTCTTTGGCTAAAATCCAAGTGCACAGACTTATATTTTTTCTTCGCCTCAGCTTCCGGGCGTTGGTCCTGCTCTTCAAATTTGTCCCCCTTCTTCTCCTTTACCCCTTGGTTCTGGTGTTTACCCGCTGGATGCCTCATTGGCTCGATGCTTTGCTGTGGGTGACTGAGACCTCTGGTCCTACTTTCATCAAGCTGGGGCAGTGGGCTAGTACTAGACGAGACATCTTCTCTCAAGATTTCTGCAACCGTTTCTCCAGGCTCCACGTCAAGGTACGCCCTCACTCCTGGGCTCATACCAAGCAGTGCCTCCGGCGGGCTTTTGGGGAGGGCTGGAGAAGGGTTTTGGTGTTTCGGAGTAAAGAACCGGTGGGATCAGGATGCATTGCACAGGTATACCGAGGCTGGGCCAGGGTGGACCAAGTGGAGGACCCAGCTTTCCAATCAATAGTAGAGGAGATGGAAAAAGACGATTTGTTGGAAGCCTGGGAGATCCCTGGTTTAGGGGGCATGGCAAGATCTCTGAGGCAGCTCTGGAGGGGGAGTGGGGAGGAAGAGAGCAGTGAGGACAAAAGTCTTCTAGATGGTCAGCAGGAGGAGCGCCTGATACCTGTGGCAATCAAGGTCAGTCTTGCAAGATTGTTTCCTCTCCTACAGATTCACATCACAGTCATGGAGTGTAAATAAAGGAGAACATGCTGTATCATTTTTTTTTTCTTTCTTCTTTTTCTTGCACGTTATGTTGGGTGTGTATAAATTGTATCCGATTCGTTGTAGGTGGTCCATCCAGGAGTGAGGAGACAAGTGGAGATAGACCTGTTGCTCATGAAAGCAGGTAGTTGGCTTCTGCACTGCCTGCCTGGACTCAAATGGCTCAGTATTTGTGAGATAGTGGAGGAGTTTGAGAAGCTCATGACCAAACAGGTGATGTAAAAATATTCAGACTCCTACATTTAACCTGGCACAAGCGTTTTTTTGACTTTGCACATGACTTTTAAATAGAGCTTTAGCATTCTGTGTACTAAGACAGGTCACAGTTAGGTGCGATTTCCATGCGTTTTAGATTGATCTCCGTTTTGAAGCCAGAAACATAGAGCGTTTCCAGACGAATTTCCGTGATTTTGATTATGTAAAGTTCCCTACTCCTTTGCGACCATTTGTCACCAGAAGCATCTTAGTGGAAACCTTTGAAGTGAGTATAATGATCTGCAAGTAATTGAGGTCATTAACTGATGACAGCATAGTTCAGTTAATATTCAGCCTCCTTTTCAGGAGAGTGAACCCATTTCAAACTACTTGAGCTCCGAGGTACCCAAGGAAGTGAAGCAGAGGATAGCCAAGATGGGAGTAGACACGCTGCTGAAAATGGTAAGATCCACAACCCAAGGCAATTGGTGTAAACGATAAATGTTTTATATACTTAAGGATGTGTGCAGAATGCTATCATGTGACAATGTAAACTTCTTTATTCCAGGTTTTTTTGGATAACTTCGTCCATGGGGATCTTCATCCAGGCAACATACTTGTCCAGTGTCAGGGTCCTCTCGCTGGCTCGGGAGACGGTACTGGTATTTCAGGGGAGCACCATGGGAAAACCACGCTCACTGATTTGTTGGACACGGTGGTGGTCAGTGTCAGGCCACCGCCGTGTCCTATCCAGCTGGTCTTGTTGGATGCTGGCATTGTAGCCCAGCTCAGTGACCGTGACCTTGCCAACTTTAAGGCTGTCTTCACAGCTGTGGTGCTGCGTCAGGTAGGAACCGATGCAGGAAAATTTTATAGCTTCTTTAAGATGTACTTTGTGCCATTTTATGTAAAGTGCCTACAGCACTTAAGACTAAGTGTTGTGGGGGTGTCTGAATGAAACTGTGAAGAACATCAATGTATAAGCTGCCTAAATGTGAATGAGAACAGTCTTTAACTAATCTGCAATGACGATAAGTGTTTGAACAGTGACACAGCTTTGGTCATTTGTACACCACCACCCATGAAACAGTCACAGAATTTCTTGTGTGGCTTTTTTTTTTTTTTTTTTTTTTTTTTTGTCCCAGGGTGAGCGTGTGGCAGAGTTGATTCTGAATCATGCCCGAGCTAATGAGTGCAAGGATGCCGCGCTGTTTAAAAAGGAGATGGCTGAGCTGGTGGATCATGCCCTCAGCAGCAACACCCTCTCACTGGGAAAGGTATGAACCAACATTTGCATTGTGTGTGTTATGACCAGGATGATGATGGTGGTTAATGTAATACAGTAGAAGACATTATAATATTATAGAATACTTTTATTTTTAAATTTAGCACTCCTTTTGTGATTCCAGCAACTTGATACATGTCTATTTTGTATCTGTATTGTTTGCTTTTAGAATTTTTAATCGTTTTCCTCTTCACTACAGCTTTCTGAAAAATGAAAATGTGTAGATAAAATAAATTGGCCTCAACATAAATTCATGCAAAACTATTCTTATCTAAAAACCTTCTAGTGAAGCAATAAACTGTACGAGAGGCCTGATCATAAAAATCCAAAACCAAAGCTGTTGTGAATTTGGCCAATCCAAACTCAAATCAGTTATTGGTTTTCATTTTTGTGTGTGGAGTCAATGTCTTTGTCGTATTTGTATGTGGAAGTTACGTAAACTATGAGGAAAGTTTCTTGATGCATTCTCAATCATCCAGGAAAGTAAATCTCCAAAAGTTGATTCTGTTCATCTGGACGTAGCGTTTTGTGGGAGAAACGTTTCGTCACTCATCCAAGTGACTTCTTCAGTCTCAGCTGACTGCAGGTTTCCCCAATCTTATAAACAGTACATTTGCATAATGACTGAAACCAGCCCACTGAAGGAACAATGGGCTGGGAGGTCAGTTCCTTAATCCTCGTTGGGATCCTAATTCCTGTGGCAGGTTAGCCTTCTTAGACTGTGAGGTTTCCGTCAGTAATGGGGGACATCTAAAAGCTGACGTGTACCGTAAACCTACACATACGGATCAGTATTTAAGGTTTGACTCTCATCATCCACTGGAGCACAAACTGGGTGTCATTAGGACGCTACAACACAGAGCGAACACCATCCCCACTGACACAGCGGCCAGGGAAGCAGAAGAACAGCACATCAAGAAGGCCCTGAGTAAATGTGGTTATCCCAGCTGGACTTTTGTCAAAGCTGGAAAGGCAACTAAAGAAAGCTCCAGTCGATCCAGGAGAGAAGGAAAACCGCTGCCCAAGCGAAAACCTTTTAAACCCCAAAACACGCTGCGCCAAAACTTGGTCTACCCCGAGGATCGGGTCCCCTGACACAGAGTAACATAGTGTACGCTGTTAAGTGCCAGGAGGATTGCCAGGATTTATACATCGGGGAAACCAAACAACCTCTGGCGAAGCGGATGGCACAACACAGAAGAGCTACCTCGTCAGGCCAGGGCTATGCAGTCTATTTACACCTACAGGCCAGTGGACACTCTTTCAAGGATGAGGATGTACAGGACAGGGAGGAACGCTGGTTTGAGCGCGGAGTCAAGGAGGCCATTTACATGAAAAGGGAAAGACCATCTCTGAATCGAGGAGGGGGCCTAAGGGTACATCTTTCGCCATCTTACAATGCTGTGATTGCAGCCATTCCCCAACTCTGTGACTGGTACTCATGGCCATTGATCAGTGGGTTTTGGTCAGTGGTTGTTGATCAATGGTCATGAGAATTTGCATATTTAAGATTAAGGAACTGACCTCCCAGCCCATTGTTCCTTCAGTGAGCTGGTTTCAGTCATTATGCAAATGTACTGTTTATAAGATTGGGGAAACCTGCAGTCAGCTGAGACTGAAGAAGTCACTTGGATGATGACGAAACGTTTCTCCCACAAAACGCTACGTCCAGATGAACAAAATCAACTTTTGGAGATATGAGGAAAGTTAACACAAATGTTAACACTATGGACAGGCTTCACTACATAATCAGTGATTTTTAATAGTGGTTACATAGTTCTTTGCTGGGGTTTGTTTTCTTTGCTTGCAGGTCCAGGTAGCCGACTTACTTTCCAGAGTCTTTGGCCTACTCATCAAACACAAGGTATAACATCACCAGGTTTTTATACTTTAAAAAAAAAATTGATCTTAACAGAATCTTATTTATCTGTCAAATATGTATTTCGCTTGTCACCGTGTTTCCAGGTCAAGCTGGAGAGCAACTTTTCCTCAATAATTTTCGCTATCATGGTGCTGGAAGGCCTGGGAAGGTCTCTCGATCCCAACTTGGACATTCTGGATTTAGCCAAACCCCTGCTGTTGAAGAACTGTGCCTCGCTGCTGTGATGCACACACAAAGGAAGCAGCTGTATAATAAATGTACACACAAGCGTAGTATGCCTTTAGTGGATCTACAGTTCATGTGTACATCCTAATAATACCATGACGTTTGTCTTTAGGCTTACAATGCAAGATATTCCTGTGTGGCATACACATCTCCTCCACATTTCCATAGTGGTGATACCAAAATATACCTCATTATATGGTCAAATTTGTGGGTATTCCCACTTTTATCACTCCTATTAGGAAATGTGTTATCTGTTTGACTAAAATATCCACTACACCCCTTGAAGTTTATTGCAGGCTGTTGGCTGAGTCGGAGGGGGGAAGTGGCACCAGAGGGCATTTGTTGGGATTTACGATCTAAAACAAAATACTGCTAAAATCACATGTTGATATTTTAAAGCACATTTTAATGTTTAATGACTAATATTGATCTCAGGACATCTATTATCACTCCATCCTTTATTGAATCCTAAAAATGTAATTGAGTGGACCATGTTTGCTTCAGTGTGAATCACAATGTACTGTATCACATTCTTATACACTAGGTTGACAATGTGTTGACTAATTGTAACACACAAAACTGACCTGGGTATTGTAGCATACACTATATTGCAGAAAGTTTTGACTCATCTGCCTTCACGTGCATATTGAACTTTCATATTGTTTAATATGTGGGCTCACCCTTTGTCGCTATAACAGCTTAAAGTCTTCTTGGAAGGCTTTCCATAAGGTTTAGAAGTGTGTTTGTGGGAATTTTTGACCATTTCCAGAAGCACATTTGTGCAAGAAGCTCTCTATGCACTGTTCTTGAGCTAATTTCTGTAGCGACTGACTGTGCAGCAAGTTGGTGACCTCTGCACACTATGTACCTCAGCATCCCATGATCTTATTACACAATATAATACCACTAACAGCTTACTGTGAAATACTTAGGAGTGGGGAAATTACTTTATAGACCTGTGACAGTGGAAGTGCTTGGAACACCTAATGATTTGGATGGGTGAGTGAATCCTTTTGGCAATATAGTGTATTTTTAAAATTATTAGATTGAATGTGAGTTATTCATGTCAATAAAAAGAGAACCTGTAGTGACTTTGTTTTCTATTCATTCGATGCCTTTAGTTTGCGATCATAAGTTCACCGGACATGTTTAGGTCGACTGCTGCCAAGTGCAACTTCAAAGCAGAAAATTCACTGCATCAAGGGCACAGGATCCATTAATTTACAATTTTATTAAATCTGTCAATGAAAAACAGACAAGACGCGATTCTGTCAATATCATCAGGAAGAACAGTCAGCATGGCTGAGAGTGAGTTCAGGAGGTTTTGGTGAAAAAGAAACCAAATAAAATAATAAAAAGAACCTCATCACAAAATCCTTTATTGCAAAACTGTTGAATTTTTTCCCCATCACGGGCCTGGACAAAGCAGCACTATTCAAGTAGGGAGGGAGGGGAGAGGTGCAAAGTGTAAAAAAACAAAACAAAACCTCTTAATAATAATAATCATCATCATTAATAATTGCAATGAAAGAAGAAATAAAAACATCTCTAACAGACAAACACAATCACCTCAGTATAAGACGAGATTCTGTTCACGGTCACGACAACCAGAGAAAAGTTTTATTTTTTTCTATTTTTTTAAATGAATTAAATAGTTTTTAAAAATATCTCACCATTTACTTATACTCATCTTTTGTTTTCATTTATTGCGAAAAAATAGGCAACTGGACTAATTGTGATGATGCGAGTTTGTGGTTGTCTGTGTGTTTGACAGAGCATTACGGATTAAGTAGAGAGATACAGTGGAACGTCTTGGAGTGTTGGCACTGAGAGCAGCAGCAGTGTGGCAATGCAGTACTCTCGTCCAGCCACCAGGTGGCGCAGTTCAGTCTGAACATTCCTGCAGGGTTGAGCTGTGGCAGCCCACCCAAAAACAAACAAAAACAAAAAAACACTATATCAGAGGAAGTCAAGTTCTGCCAACAACCACCTCTGTATTTTCTTTCTTCTTCTGTTTTTTTGGAATGATGCTTGCGTGTTGAAATGTTGTCCACGGTCGCTTATCTGTGTTGCCAAATCTCAGTTCTATATACAAAGGTTTCAAATCCCTGAAGGACATCTACAAAGACAAGTGCAACCTCCGTGTGACCATCCCATTTCTGGAGAAGCTCAGGGAAGAAAGGGTTTCTTTATAAGGGCAAAAAAGGGGAGAATAGTACCAATAAGTTCTGGTAAACGTGCCACAGTAGGAATTAACAGAAGTGTTCTCGGGAATAAAAGTCAAGGAATGATGGATCAAGATTTAGGAATGTCAAAAGCTGGTGGAGAAGGGGACTGTAAAGTAGCCACCTTCATTTTGGGGGCGGAGGGATGGGGGCACCAAATATCCTAACCTAATGTAAATCTTTCTAACAGAATGTCCAAGAGGTGTGATGAAACAGGAAACAAAGCATCCATCATTTGTTTCTCATAATCCTTCATGCTGCTCCTTCAGTCTTCTCCATGCATTGTTAAAAAGAGTCTCTAAAGACCAAGCAGTTCTCCTCTTTGTTGAACTGATTGTATTTTTGCACAGCCCACACTGTTTCTGTCCTCCTTTTCAGTGTGCTGCCCCCTGGAGGACTGGCTGCCCTCCAGCTTTCTGCAGCAGTCCCCGGGCAGGATCATGACGCTCATTTAGGAAGGGGAGAGAGGCAATGTGGGGAAACAAACAGGTCACATGGGTGTTTTGGGATTCCTGGAAGAAATTAGGGTGTAAACTCGGAGTTTGATATGGGAACTTCTTCCATGGTTAGGAAAGGAAGTTAGATTGGGGAAAAAAGACGAGGGTCTGTGTAGGCAGATCTTAAGCGCAGGCACGTACGCTCATTTTCACACATGCTCAATAAGATGCGCACACACACACACACACACACACACACACACACACACACACACACACACACACACACACACACACACACACACACACACATCTGAGTTTGAGGCCCTGGCTGTGTAAAGGTCATGGCAGATGGAGCTGTGGGCCATCAGCAATACATCAAGGCTACTTGTTGACTTTTCTTTCAAAATACTGAGAAGATCAGCAGCTGTCCATCGCCCGAGACAGATTTTTTTAAAAATTATAATTAGGAAGAGACAGACAGATGTAAGAGACTGACCGGCATCCTGACGGCAGAAAAAGAGAAGAAAGCACATTTCTTTCAGGCAGAGCCCAACTTCTCCCTTTTCCAAAGTGGGCAGCATTCATCCTCCAACAGTCTGATTGTTTTTGTCATTTTATCTCCACAAGTTCGTCTTTACATTCCTTTTGGGAAAAGAAATGTGGGAGGTTAAGCATTTTCAGGTAAGCATGAAATGGATATGTGAGATAATGCATTAAGGAGGTCCTTCTCATCTGTTGCCAGCTTCTTTCCACATCGGGGTTCCAAAGGCTGCCACCAGGGTGGGGGTGGTGTTTGGGCTAACTGTTGGGTGGGCAGCGGGGAAGAGGAGGAGGGCGTTGCTCAGTGTTTGTGGCTAGGAGTTGAGCCACGGGTGATTGAGGCATTCGCCGGCCGAGGCCCTCTTCTCAGGCACCATCTCCAGCATGGGCAGAAGGAAGTGAGTGAACTGACCGGCGTCTTCGTGCGACCAGCCGTACTTCTCCACCAGCACGTCAAACAGGGACCACGGCTTCAGCTTGGTGATGTGCCGCAGTTCACCTGCAGAAGGCCACACACAGCAGAGTCACTGGCATGGTAGGATGAACTGGAACGTTTGAAAAATGTTGGTCCCAACAAATTTTAAAAAAGGATTTCTTGAGTAAAGGAAAAAGACTGGTGGTATATAATGTTGACTTGCTTTCCACAAATACCAGAAAAAACATGAAAATAAGCAAGATCTGGAATCTGTAGCCAAATCCTGCTTATTTTCACCATCGTTTTGTTTCGGTACTTGGCAGAGCACAAACTGTGTGTTAATCTGCTAAAACTAAGAGATGTGACTGCGGCATAGTTGTTTTTGGCTTTTTTCTGGGATTTGCTGATCACGAGGAAAAATACAAAACACCACCAGCCGTATCCTTTAACTCTAGAAGCACCCAGACATGCAGATAGTACAGCTTTAGCTTTGGCCTCTGAGATTTCTGCCTTTTCTCCAGAACAGTGGAGTTAGAAAAAAAACAATGGTGCCCACATCAGTGAAATCCTGATAATTCAGCAGCAACATCTCGTTACAAAAACAGTTTAATTTCTGTTCAGAATTATTTAAAGAAAATGCAGCAGAAAAAGTCGACAGCATTCCAAAGTCTTGCTCATAAGGAATAATCAGAGATTACTGTTGTTGTGAAATTGCTTTAAACAAATAAAACTGTTATACACCATGTGTGATTAAACTTGACACATTGGTAGGAAACATGGCAGTCGGAAATAACTTTATTAAGTTAAAGTGAAAAGCATGCTTTGTGGTTTTTATTTTAAACCTAACGCTATCTGTGTAGTTATTTGTGAGTGCTCACTAAGAAACTATTGCAATGCAATTTAAAAATAACATTTTTTGTGGATTACTTGTTTACACTCTACCTCTGCTCCAATCAGCTGGTTGTTTATGTGTAAGGCTAACAGGGAAGTTCCAGGAGTGGCCTCTTATGGACAAATTATGCAATATTAGCACTCATAACATGTCTGAAGGGTGTTTCTTTCATCTCTTCTCTACTTTTTAAATATTCATGGATTGAACATTATAAATGTTGTTACCAAGATATGATCAAATAGCCAGTATTAGCCAATATATTGGTCCCTGTCGATATATTGTGATCTCCAAATATCCACTTGCTGTAGGGATTACTGAATAGCTGTGTACCCGACTAGAAGTGACTAGTTATACATAATTTTCTTTATGCCTTGAAAAGCATTCAATTTGATATTTAAAATGGTGCAGGAACCTGCTCACCATTTTTTCAATTACTAAAAAGAAGCTTCTCGTGCATTGTCATGATTCAAGCATCATTAACAGGAAACTGACAACACTTTAATCACTGCCATGTCATTAGACAACCAGTCCTTATTTAGTGTTAGTGTTATTGTAAAAACAGGCTTATCACCTCAGAACAAGACTTGATCAGTTTTCGGACTTTTACCAGAGCCCTGAACTTTTCCATACATCACCCAGCGGCTGATGCTGTCAGATCAGACATTGCATGGTCTTTAACCTGAGAGCTCCCTAGTACAAAGAGTGTGTGTGCAGTCTGATTGAAGCCATATGAGAAAAACGCGGGTAAATCTATGGTGCAATCATAGTGAGCGAGAAGGTGTCGCGGTGAAGTGACTACAGTCAAGCCAAATTTCTCCTGCTACATGTGAGAAAAGCAGCTGTGAACAATGTTCCCACCAACATTATTAAGAGTTCATGTGTAAAAAGGCTTTAACATCATTACCGTGCATGCTGCAGGTATCAATACAGCAAACGTTAATCTAACAGTTGAAGAGGTTGCTGCTGAATCTTTTTTAAAATGTAAAAATACTACTGGAGGCAAATCTATATTTTTTTCTTTTCTGGGTATTTTGGTGTACCGGTCATATAATCAGATGCCACATTAGGCTGTGATTATGCAGGCTTCAGCCAAACAGTAGCTGATTTCACTAATTACTTTGCCTCTCTGTGTGTTTGAAGGTTTGCTAATCAGTGAGGTGCTGTACCAATGGAGTGAAAACCTGCAGAGTCTTGGCAGAAAAATACACAATAACAGAGGGTACAAGAGGGACAGAAATAGCTAAAGACCTGGTGAGGTAACAGAAACAGAAGAGAAAAGAAAAGGATGGTGTCTATTATTCAGGAGAGGAGGAAAACACAAGTCTGACAGGGAAGCAAGCAAGTGTGAGCGAATGATTAATGATCGGAGCGATCGAGACCGAAGGTCCGGTTCAAACCACGGCTGCCATGGTAACCTCTTTTTCCTCTGCAAGATGGGAGAATGGAAACTGTTAAGAATTCTCCAGCTTTGTGCAAACATTCATTAGGAAATGTGGTTTTTGTTAGCAGGATAAACCCTTACAGCTGTTATTCTTTCCTATGCAGAGTATAGTTTTTCCAGGTGTTTTTGCCTCCAATCAATATATCAGTGCACATGAAGTAAACAAGCTGCCAAGGCCGTCTGACTGCAACATGCAGTTGAAAGCGTCTCGGCAGACGCGAGAGAGTCGGTGCGAGGAAGTCAGACCCGATTAACAGAGCACCCGGAGATAAAAGAGAGAACACTGAGACATCAAGTGCAGGCTCAGACCTCAGATAGAGACAGGATCAAAGGAGAAATATTCAGGTCTCATGACACATTAAGAAGAATATATGAGCAGAAAGGAAAACGAGAGTGAGTGAGAGATTGCAAGGGTTATCAGCTGTATCAATCACAGGTCCATGAACTTACCATGCTCACAGGTGAGTAGGGTCAGAGAGGTGCATGACATACTAGAGAGAAGCCTTATACACTGTCATTGCTACTAGTTTAACTGGCTTTACCTGGTCATAAACCTGTAAACTATTAATCCTAACTTTGATATATAGGAGGCACTGATTAAACACATTTAACTGTTTCTTTTGGAATTTACAAAGGATATAAAACTTATTTGTTGGTCGGGATATATAATAAAAATATGTCACTGTGTTGTCTGTGCCATGGGGAAAAAAACTGAATGAAAGGCAGATGTGAAATATCAAAGTGTGACATAGATTTTAAATCAGAGGTAATTATAGCAAGCTTACATTTATCAGTCTGGTTAATAATAACTTATAATTTACAGATATTTAGTTAATGTAAATATTCAACACCCGATCTCCTTGACAGTGATCACCTTCTGTATGAATTTTACTGACTAGCAGAGATCAGAAATGATTCTTAACAGATATTTTTCCTATTAAATGCACATGTGGAGTTTTCTAGAAGTGCTTTTAAAATCCTTTTTATTTTGTTATTAAGTTATGGAAACTTAATAGAATCCGGCAGTGTTTAAAATAGATTTATTGCACACATTTGTTTATTTTATCTGCTTTGAAAATCACTTCATTTTGATGTTTTATTGTCAATTCATTTTACTTTTGCTTGTTTCGAGGGTTCGGGTTTGCTCATTTCAGTTTTAAATGAATAGTTTTATTTATTTGGAGTATTTGCTGAGTCGGCATTTATGAAGTTCAGAACAGGCAGCACAACATTTAATGCCATACAGATGTGTCAGTCTTAATAAACAGACAAATCAATGCCTCCTGATGTTTGCTGGGTTGACAAATTTGACCACACTGACAGAGACTAAAGGTAAGGTCATTTCCTGTTTAACTCTGTTTTAGTTTAGTTATTTAAAAAAAAGATAATCATTTTAGTTTTCTTTTAGTTGTTACTTTTTCACATCTATTGGTTTAGCTAACTATAACAGCCCAGCTCCTGACACACTACCGCTGTCCCTTTGGCTCACACTACCCTTAACCAGTCATCAACCACGGAGTCGTTTACCTTTCTTGGTGAAAAACTCTCGGCTGTACTTCCCAGCAGCGACCACTTTGCGTGGGACCTTCCCAAGGAGCTCCATGATCAGAGCGATGTGGTCTGCCCACCACCACATACGTCACAGAGGGAACAAGCACGGTTCAGCATTACGGCATGCACACACATCAACACGCACATACACTGGCTGAATGGTACCGACACACACTGATGCCTTGGGGTACACCACAGACGCGCTTAGAGACCGATTGGTAATGCAGTGAGAAGCTTGTTCTCGATGTTTTAATCATACTTTCAAATCTGATTTTACAATGGTCTGCCAGTGCATAATTTCTGTCCCTCTCAGACATCCGTGTGTCCCAGTCCCACCAGCTCTCTGGCCAGCGCTACCTCTTCTGTTGAAGAACTCCCGGGAATATTTTCCGGAGAGCGCAAAGTGCCTCGGAATACAGCCCAGCAGCTCTATGATGTGGGCTATGTGGTCTATGGAGGAGAGAGGCAGGTCGGAGGAGGGAGAAGAGAGAGAGAAAAAGAAAAAGAAGAGGAAGGGGGCAGGAAATGTTGACAAAGAAATAGAAATATAAAAAGAGTAAAGCCAAAGACGGTAGAATTAATCGAAAGAAGGATGAAACACAGTGTAAGAACATTGTAAATACAAAAAAGGGACAATTACAGGTACAAAACATTGAAAAAAAAAGGAAGTGTGAGGTATAAAAAGATGGGGGGGGGGGGGGGGGCATAAGGAAGGGATAAAGAGAGGGAGGAAAAAAAAAGAGTCAGACAGTAAAGGAAACAGCGTGTGTTAGTGAGCTGTGCCTCCACAGGTGAGGAAATGAAATGAATAAAGTGACATGTATTTAGATTCAGATCTGAACGAACTGGATTTTCAATCTGGCCTCAGTAGCGGGAGATCAAAGGTGACCCTCTGTAAATAAGCATGCCAGAATAAAACTGACACTGGCTTATTGCCTGTGCAGAACAGGAAGCAGGGAGCCAACTGTGTGTCACATGCTCTGAGGGGAAAAAGACCCCCCCCCCTGAAAACACAGCACAATGAGCTGAGACAGATCAAAGACCAGATGAGGGGAAGTGATAAAGAGAAATGTGGGGGTGAAGCTGCACAGTTTGGTAATGTGACATGTTTTCGCGAGACATAACATTTAGAAGAATTAGTATGATTAATGACTGGAGTCCACATGCAAAGGATGGAGAAAGACCAGAAAACAGATACACGTAATCTCACAGGACACTTGGCTAATGTTGGGCTAAGGTTTGAAGTGTGGGCTTGGTGTGGATGTGTGGAGGCACAGCAGCAGATTCAAGGGACAGAATTTAAAGTGGATAGAAGGATGTGGGGAGAGGGGTTGACTAAACTTTAAACTAAACTGATTTTGGCTATTTTTTTAAGCGCTAACAATACAAACTACCTTTTTAAAATTACAGCTTTTCTCCATTATCCGATAAGACACAAAAGCCCCAACATTATTGCATAGGGATAAACAAAAGTATATTTTTCAAGTCTTTTTCAATTATTTATTCTATTCGTCCTTTTATGATTTCAGTTCTATTTTAAAATCTGTTTTACATTTCTATATAAAGTTGATCAAATAGTGGAGAAAAACTGTGAAGCTAATTATTTACGCAGTAATATCAAACAGTTTAAACACTTTGCACCAAACATCTCCAACATTCAGTTTAAAGTTTTAAGATTAAAAATATTCAGCATTAATTCTCCAGTGGAAGCTGCTGCTCCTATATTTGGAAATAAAACAGTTTGTGCCATAAAGATTTAAATACTCACCCTCATCGCGGGAGTAGTCTTCTCCAGAGTGAGGCTCAAACAGGTAATCTCCAGTGGCCAGCTCAAATGCCTACAGGAGGACATACTGAGTACGCCTCTCAACGAATGATTGCAAACTAGTACAGCTGCATATATGTATGTAATAATGTTATTCATGTGTGTTCTCCTCACCATGCAGGCGGTGCTCCAGATGTCAGCAGGAGTGCTGTAACCCGCTCCTATTAGGACTTCGATGGAGCGGTACTGCCTTGTCTGAATGTCCTCTGTAAAGTGCTTATGCTGTCCGCGAAATAAGAGGAGAGGAAGGATATTTGTTACTAAAATTTTTTATTAGGATCTATCAATAAAACATAGTCCCCGTCTTACATCTTGATATGTTTTCGTCTGATCAGGGTCCACTTGTCTTTCATCTTTGGAAACCAAACCCTGTTAAATTCTCCGTGCAGTCCTGCCTTGCCGAGTGCAGCTGGCTCAGTGTGTGTTACAGTCTCGATCTAGACATGTGTGGGATGCTTTTATTTACACTTTCATCTGTTGTTTTGTGAGACTGTGTGTAATTGTTGTGCGCAGGATTTGGGATCAGATTAGCGCATCTGAACGATGGGTTCTAGCGGCGTTAGCTGCTGGAACGCGCCTCCTGCCAGTACATTCGTTTCAACAGCCGGTCTCTAATAATGGCTGCTGCACACAAAAAAAAAAAGCCTGCTGAAAGCAGAGCTGTAATTGGACCGCTGAAGGAAACTCGGAGTTTGATGTTATGCTGCTTCTTGTTTTCCTCTCTAAACCTCATTAAAATATCTGGACCTGTGCAACCTGTGGCAACTTGCCCGCCTACACAGGTTTCAAATATGAATTCTTACAGTGAATAACAATCATTTATACAGGGTACACAGAACACACCTCCAGAAACTCTCAGGCCTCTCTGAGTATGAAAGTGAGCTATTATGTCTTTAAAAACTACAGCATAATGCACCTGTGGTCACCTCTGGTTACAGCCTCTGTACAACTCATTATTCTGTTTGTCTTCAACAGAACATAAAAGGCTTCACCTTTCACTATTTAAAAATAGTCAAAATGAAATAATATCAAACTCCAGCTGCTTTCTTACCACCCAGCATGCATTTCCAAGATCAGCAATTTTGACTCGAATAGAGTCTGCGTTGCGCGGATCTAGAGGGTTGATCAGAAGATCTGCAGCTCTGGCTCTGACTGTCAGGGGACATAACGGGACAGCGCAGGATTAAACATACAGTAAGAGACAGCGTTTATACATGGTAATGTTCGAATAGGCGTGCATTTAAAACAAGGATCATTTCAGGTTTTTCTCTGGAAATCACGCCAGTCATCAAGTTACATGAGCATCCACTGACAGTATCACAAAGCCATGTAAAGAAGTAATGTGATGAGAAATTTGGCACCTTAATTCATTTACTGATACTAAAAAGAAGGCTGTAGATGGATGTTAGGTCAAAAAATAAAACCCTAAATGTATTTGGACACTAAAATGTAATAATGAGAAACGGTATTATACTACATAGTAATAACATAATAGAAGTTAAACTCAAAACACAGCAGTGGTTATTCATGTTAGGGCGATCTATAAAAGTACATAAGATGCCGGTCTCAATTTTTAATTAAAATTTATAATTAATGTTGAGAGGAAGTCCAGCAAAACAAAATCGTGTCAATACTATATGAAGGCAATCAGATTAATGCAGATGAAAATAACTGACACGTAGTATTGGCTCAGTTTATTTTTTTTAATATTTCAGGATATTATTTTTACACACTGCTAGGCTTCAAAGTTAAATATTAAAATATACTTTTAGAAGGAATATTTTTAATGGATCAATAAATGATTGAAATTCCACTTTTTATTATTAATAATATTTTTAGTTTGAATGTTATATTATGTTTATTTTACATATAAAAATCATGCTGTGATATTTCAAATATGCTAAGATAAAATAAAAAGTTTATGAAAAAACAAGATGGGACAACAGTAACACTTCAAAAGCAACTACAATAAGAGCTTATGATAACGGTTCATAATAATGAGTTTAAATTTGTTGTGTAGTTAGAACCACTGCACTGCACAAAGTTTACTCAGACTTGGACTTGTTTGAAGTTGGAGATAAATCCTGTAATTAAAGTAAAAGTTTAGAGCCAACTGGTGATACTGAATCACAACAAGGACTTCAGACAATCACTTCAGTGAGATCTTGAATAATGTTTGAGTGTTTCTGGGGGCCTTTTGAGCTTTTATTGTGATGGGACAGTTGAGAGTAGACAGGAAAGCTGGAGGAGAGAGCTGTAGGAAATGCCCAGAGCATAGCTGAACCCAGGCCTCTGCAATAGCAGAGGGATATAGGTTCCTTTCTTCAACTCTATGAACTATACTACCTGTTGTATGTTCCCTAACAATAAATAATGGTAGAAACTCTGAGGCACAAGAACTAAAACATATGTATTGATGGCTTGAAATGTTTTAACCACTGTTGAGGTGAATAACAAGACTGTATAACAAGAAAAATGGTGGTAGCAGGAGAAATTGTAAATGGTATATTGTATTAAAAAAGAAATAAAAATGTATTCTTTCAGCTCAGACAAACAATGTTATTTTACCAGTCAGGACTTTTTTATTACCCAAAGCAAGAACACTAACTCAAATAAACAGTTTTGCACCAGGCTATGGGGGAAATGAATTTACTGCTAAAGCAAATAGCATGAATAACCAGTAAAATCAGATTAAAAACAAACATTAAAAGGCTTTTTTATGGGTTTCAAACTGAGGCAGAAATGAATAAAATGAATTAGTGCTACTGTCGATGTGCTTTAGTAATTGTCTCATGTTGAAGTGCTGTGTTAATACGTACACCGATGTGGTGAATTGTCACAGTGCTTACACAACAACGGCTAAAACTTTAAAATTAACTCTTAGGCAGTTGTTTGATATGATGGTTGTGTTGTAAGGAGATTGCTTGGCTGGTGTCTCTCTGTGCTGGAGCTATTGGGGAGTCTGATGAACTAAACCAATCCAGCTTAGTTGAGAGCAACTTTGTTGTTGTTCCCAGATGTTGACTCCAGTTCTTGTGGAGTACCCCTGACCATCAGTGGTTTAAATAGAGATAAACCATTAATCAGCAACAAAGTCCAACTCATCTGGTCATAATTATCTCAAGAGCCACTTTAATAATGTTTAGTGAGTGTCTTTGTCAGGTCGCACACCTATCGAAGCATTTGGAGCAGTCTAAGAGTAAAGCTTTGTGCCAATTTCCAAGCGTCATTGGTCTCTTTTTTGCGGGTGATGCGAGCTAATGTCTCAGTGCTTCACATGACAGAGGTGTGCATGAGTCAATGGGTGAGAGAGATTGGAGTGGACAGTGCATTAGTGGGCGGTGGTCACAGTGCTTTAGCCCATCACTCCATCACAAAACAGTTACTGACATTTTTAATTTGATCACATCTGGCATATTAATTTTCATGTTATACCTGCACCGGATGGTTGCTACACCCACTATCATTAAAATCAGTACTATTTTTCAGCCATCGTCGTTTACATGCTCAGTATTAAAGTCTGAGTTTTGAAATTGCTGTAATCCTATCTTACCTTTCGGTGTGTCTCCCGTGCTCGAGGAGGACACGGTGCGACTGCGGTCTGCAGTGGGGCTGTTGGGTGAAGGTCCTGCTTCAATGTCTGCCGTACCAACACAAATGGTGTTTCCTGGCTCGGGATCCAGAGGCAAGTCGGGAAAAATGGGAATTGTACCTAGATGCCGCTCACTGGAGCCATTGGTGAGTCCTGGCTCTCCAAGCTCGCCGTTATACATCTCATAACCAGAGCTCAGAGAGTTGTCCCTGTCTGTGTAGCTGAGCTCAGACTCCACCAGGGGGCAGAGAAGAGGCTCTGGGGTGGGGGAAGGAGGCGGAGGCGTGCCTGGGTTTGGTTTCAGTCCCTCAGAGCCTAACAAAACATGGCCGTTGGTTTTGACCGAATTGGTTTTATTGATGTGGGGTTTGATGGGGGAGGTGTTATCTGTGAGGAGGTCAGTAGTTGTGTCATCATCCTCATCTTCCTCCTCCTCTTCCTCCTCTTCTTCTTCTTCGTCCTCCTCCTCCCCCTCTTGCTCCTTTGAAACCTCTTCTTCCACCACCACCACAACCTCCTGCTCTGTTTTGCTCTCACTCTTTGGCTCCTCTGTCTCTTTATCCTCCTCCTCCTCTTCTTCTTCTTCGTCTTCTTCTTCTTCCTCCTCTTCCTCCTCCTCCTCTTCTTCTTCTGCTACCTTTTCTTCTGTTTCCTCCTCCTCATTCTCATTCTCTCTCCCTTTTAATCCCTCTTCCTCCTCTGCCTCTTCTGGCTCAACCTCTGCTTGTGTTGGATCTCCGCTGCCTTCTTCTGAGGCGGGGGGAATAGGGGCATCTTTTTCAGCGACAGGCGTAAGCTCCTCTTCTTCTTCCTCCGCCTCCTCATCAGGGTCATCATCTGTGATGTGGGTTGCCTCGCTCTGCTCCTGGGGAGGTGCTGCACCTAACATGGAGAAAAAAGGAAAACATTATAGACAGTTGGTGGGCGGGAGGAAGATGTACAGTAAGTGGAATCAGACAAGATGTAGGCAGAGAGAAAAGGAGCATGAAAAGAGAAGAAAGATCGGAGTGAAGGTAGCAAAGCGAGAATACAAGAATGAAAGAGGCAGAAGGTGCAGAGACAGAGGGTGGAGGAGGGAGACGGAGAAAGACGTTTTTCTTTCTTTCTTTTTTTTTCCCTCTCGTGAATCAGCCGAGGCTTCCATACACAGCAGGACTAGCGTGGGTTGAGTGATTGGAGCCAATCCACATCCTATTCATTCACAGACAGACTAAAACCAAAACCATACAAATACTCACACGTGACGCAGATCTGTCAAAGCCAAGATCTGCTCTGGGATAACTCACCTTCTAGCTATTCACAACCTGAATACAGTTTTTTTTTTAATTAATTGCTCACTTTTCCCTCAGTGTATTTGATTGGAAACAATAAATGCAACCAGAACGCTGCATTACATCCCCGGGCTGCAGGAAACATTTCCTTTAGCTTAAATGGAGTCCAAATAAGAGCTAACTAACAGATTAGGAACAGTTATCGGACGCGGAGAACAATATATGTTCGACTTTCTGCAGCTTGTCTTCAGGCTTCCGATTAACAGTGTTTTATTTTTTGCAACATTCAAGCCCGCCTGATAATCAGACTCATTTGCCAATTTGTCTCACTTAAATTGAGACAAAGTGGCAAATTAAGTTCATCTGAAATCTGAAATGCTGGCGATGATTCAGAGCGCCGAAAAACAGGCTGTGAGGAGGCAATGCAGCAGATTCGCTGCAAGTAGCAAACTAATTTACACAGCCTATAAATAGCCTACAGGATCACAGGAAACCACCAAACAAACATTAAGCAGATGTGACAGGGAATGTAAATGAGCCGAAGATGTCGCCAACTGGTATTTGAGTTTTTTTTCTGGTGGACCGTAGTCGTGGTAACCTTTTTGAAGGAGGAGCGGGATATAAGAATGCATATAACATGATAATAACAGGTGTATTTATGTACTTTTGATAATTATAATGAGAAAAGTGCCTTTATGCATTTTTCTATTCCAAACAATTACAATTATAAATGATCAAAACACCTGAGTCATATCTGACACGCTGAAGCACTACTGATTGATTCACAAATGTCTGAATGTAGTAAAATTGCTTATCTTTACAGTCACCCTGCAGTCATGACTCACATGTATGATTAGTCAGCCTGATGGGCCTCTCTCCTCCCTCCTCCTCCTCCTCGTCCTCTCCGTCCTCCTCATCGTCGTCGTCATCGTCGCTGTCTCCCAGGGACGTGCTGTGGCCTGGAGGCGGTTGCGGCGGCTGCAGCGGTGAAGGCAGGTTGCGGTCGAGCGTCGCCTTCTCCCCTCCTTCTTTGGCCTTCTCTTCCCTCCTCTCTGCCTCCCTCTCCAGGGCTTCAATCTCCAGCATTCGCCTTTCCAGAAGCTCGGCTTGCCGCTTCTGTTTCTTTTTCAGCTTCTTCTTCTTGTTCTTGGAGATCTTTCCAACCTGAAGGGTGAAAAAAGAAAAGAAAAACACAAAAGAGGGAGAGAAAGTCAGTGAAAAGGGAAAACAAAGAAATAAGAAAAGGTTTTGATACTTTTGAGTGTTGTGTTTTCATTTATATGTTATAGATGTTCACTGAACTGAGCATCAGAGCTGCAGTTTTGTGCTTTCCATTTCAAATTTTAATATCCTCTGAGCTTCAACTCTTTAAAGTTCCACTCAGCTTAGACAATAGTTTTGCATCTTTCAGTTACATTTTTGCTGTTTAGTTATATATACTTATATTTTTATTTGTTCCAATGTTAGTTTAGCCTTAAATTATAATATCTAAATCATTTATCAGGGGCAGGACTGTGTGACTGGTGAGTGTGTCACACATACACTATGTTGCCAAAAGCATTCACTCACCTTTCCAAATTATTGAATTCAGGTGTTTCAATCACTTCCATGGCCACCATATAATCAAACAGCTAGGCATGCAGACTGCTTCTACAAACATTTGTGAAAGGCTGGGTCGCTCTCAGGACCTCGGGGAATGATAGGACACCACCTGTGCAACAAGTCCAGTCGTGAAATTTCCTCACTTCTAAATATTCCACAGTTGGCTGTTAGTGTTATTATAGCAAAGTGGAAATGATTGGGAACAACAGCAACTCAGAGTCAATAACTATTGACCTCCAAACTTCATGTGGCCTTCAGATTAGCTCGAGAACAGAGCACTGAGAGCTTTGTGGGGTTTCCATGCAATTCAAAGTGCCGAATGCAGTGGTGTAAAGCACGCTGCCACTGGACTCTAGAACAGTGGAGATGGGTTCTCTCCAGTGACGAAACACATTTCTCCATCTAGCGATCAGCAATCTGGGTTTGGTGGTTGCCAGGGGAACGGTACTTGTCTGACTGCATTGTTTGGTGGAGGGGGGATTATGGTGTGGGGGTGTTTTTCAGGAGTTGGGCTCGGTCCCTGAATTCCACTGAAAGGAACTCTTAATGCTTCAGCATACCTAGACATTTTAAACAATTTCATGCTCCCAGCTTTGTGGGAACAGTTTAGGGATGGCCCCTTCCTGTTACCACATGGCCGCATGAATACACGGATGGTGTGGAAGAACTTGACTGGCCAACACAAAATGCTGAGCACAACCCAACAGAACACCTTTGGAATGAATTAGAGCAGAAAAGATGATCCAGGCCTTATCGTCCAACATCAGTGTCTGACCTGACCTGATGTGCGTCTGGAAGAATGGTCAAAAATTCCCATAAACACACTCCAAGACTTTGTGGAAAACCTGCCCAGAAGAGTTGAAGCTGCTATACCTGCAAAGGTTGGCCCGACATTATATTAAAGCCTATAGATTAAGAATGGGATGTCACTCAAGTTCATATGTCTGTGAAGGCAGCCCAGTAAATACTTTTGGCAATATAGCTTATCCTGCCTTATATGGAACAACAGACTACTAGCTACAGGTAAATAACTCTAAATGAGACAATTAGTGCGTTGCTTTTTAATATTGTGCTGCGTGTCTGTGTGTGTGTGTGTGTGTGTGTGTGTGTGTGTGTGTGTCCCATTTCATACTCACATCTGTTGTACTCACCGGTTTGAGCTGGGGGGCTGTGCTAACTGATAAAACAGAAAGCAAAAAATAGCAATCAGACACTTTCAAGCATCACTGTCATCAGTCCGTCACACAACCGAGGCAGAGGTTTAAGAGTTAAGAGTGCAAATCATGCATGTCGCCGCATGTATGGTCATTTAAAAACCTGAAACACTCAGAAACAAAAAAGTAAATCTTGTTATCAAATCAAGAAAAATCACTTTCCACGCTCTTCCTGTATTGATAATGTTTATGTTTTATTCTTTTTAATGCCTTCTTCTTCAGTTATTCAGTTATTATTAAGTCCTATCTTAGGAGCTATGCTGAGCTGCTAATTGAAGTTAGCTTATCATAACGCAAGCAGTGTAAAGTACTTTGGCATTCGTGTATAGCAGTCATAAATAAATAAAATAAATTTCTTCTCACATGAAGCAGAAATAGATGAAATTTCACTATAAAACACATGTCTACACTTATTTCTACACTTATGTTAACGTCAATTAAAAAAAAAAAACGATATACTGCTTATCTTCAATCAGAGACAGCGTGTGTTACTATGAGCACTTGCTCTTGTTTTGACAGTTGATGGTTTTGTGCCTGACATCACGCGTGTAGAAATCTAAGCAGTAAAACTTGTTACCCCGAGGCTCAAAAAGACCCTGTTGGCTGATGCAAGCAATTGACAACTCACAGGGGGTTCACCAAGGGACAGGGGTTCATGTGGAGTTCATCAGGAATAATTTTGAGAACTTTTAGGGTTTTTTTTTAAAGTGGAAGAACGTTTTGACAAGAGATGGGTTAAAAAAAGCAACAAATGTCTCTGTAAAGGTAAGCAGGTGAGAAGAAACTCAAGGCTTCGACACTTCTTGTAGGAGTATGTCAACATTAAACATAAGAGAAATCTGTAATAACAAAGAAGTAAGAAGTGTAAATGAATACACTAAACAAACAGACCTCACTCATGCTATTTCTGATAGGAGGTAAAAACATATCCCAAAAACTTTTAGGTTTTGTTCTCTTCTTAATTTTCGTATAAAATACCCAACCATTTGGAAACAAACGTAAGTATAACACAGTGCAGTTATTTTTTGAGAAATACCTGAATTTGATTTTTTGCTTAAAATTGACACCACTGTCACCTTAATACGGTGTAGCTACAGTCATGTAGGAAACCCCAAGTACACCCGTAATGCTTCATTAGAAAAGGATAAGTACCTGCCCAGTGCTGCAAATCAAATGCACTTGATTAACTGATCACTTACAAGTGTGAGCATCCGTCTATAAAAACAGGAGGTTTGGCAGTTTTCTGTTGTGGAGCATTCAGGGTTCTGTTAACATATTACATCCAAAAATTCACCACAAGGTCAGACCATGCAACGCTCAGAGAAACTGCAATAAACTCAAGGAGCTACAACTTAGAGTCTGCAGATCTCAGTTAGCATGGTAAATGTCAAAGTGCATGATAGTACCAACAGAAAAACACAAAGTATTGCTTGTTTGGAAAAGTTGCCATGAGACGTTGTGCTCCCTTTAAAAAGAACATGCCAACACAGCTTGCGTTTGCAAAGTTGCATCTGAACAAATCAAAAGACTTCTGGAACAATATCCTTTAGATAGACAAGACAAAAATGGAGTGGTTTGGCCACGTTTGGTGAAAACCAAACACAGCATATCGACACAATCACCTCACACCAGCTGTCAAGCACGGTGGTGGAGGGGTGGTGATTTGTGCTTGTTCTGCAACTATATAACCTTTGAATCTTTCAGTCACTGAGTCCACCATGAACTCCGTCAAAGTATTCTAGATTCGAATTGGAGGCTGACACCTAAAGCTTGGCCCAAATTGGGTCACACAACAGGACAATAGCTCTAATTTAGGCCCGAACTTACTAACAGTGCGCACACAAACATTTCACACAGACCTGATTCTAAACCTTTTTATACTTAAGGCACAGTAAGTGTCTGAAGGGAAGCAAAGCTCCATCATCCTATGAATTCTCATCTTGATCTTTCCTTTTTATTTTAATTTTTTTACACTTTCAAAAGTTGGCCTTTTTCTGTCTTCCTCCTCGGAAACTATTTACTTTCTCCTTCACTGTTGCATTAGCAATCTTATCTCTAACAACATCGTCACTGCTCTCTCCACTTCATCTCAAGGTAAACGTGTTTCCTTATATAGAGAAATAAGGATCTGACTGTATTCAGATAGCATGCAGATTGAAAGCAGCAAGCACAAACACTGATTCAGGAGGCATGGCAGTAAGAAGATCATTTTCCAGTGTGCATGTGTTGTAAATCTGATGGTAATTTTGCATGTGAACAATTTATTGTACCAAATATGTTTCCATTGTTATGTATAAATACATATATAAATCATAACAAACAGAGCAGCAAATGTACAACAGAAATCCTGAAAAAGAATCAAGGTGCTGATGTATCAACAGCTGATATTATTTATTTGCTAATTTATCAGTATTATGATTTTAAATGACAATGAAAAACTAAAGAAGTGATGGAAGAAACTCCCTCCAACCATGTTATGAGTGCTGACATGGGTTAGCAGCGACAGGGCACTCCTCAACTTTCCTATAGGCAACACACGTCTACAAACACAACACCTGGCTGAGTCGGGCACAGCGTAAATAAGTAAAGAAGTACAACAAATGTTAGAAAGAAAAAAATATGGGTCGATGTAACTTAAATACCAGATTTTAAGATGACCAAATATTGTTAATGATATCTTACTCACAGCAGCAAAGGTCCCTTTAAATAACCCTTTCTCTGAAAATACATGTGTGGAGAATGAAACGTATCGCTACCTGCTGATCCAGATGGTGGTGGAGCTCCAGCTTTCTGCCATTCAGTTGCTTCCATGGCCATACGCCTAACAAAGACGTCATCTACACACATCAGGATGTTCTCCGGCTTTATGTCTGTGTGGATGATTTTACACTTCGTGTGGAGGTAGTCCAAGCCCTGCAGGACCTGCAGACACATCAGATAGACAGACATTTGTATGCTTCTGCCAACCAGTGAGATTTGGTGACTTTATCCTTTTACCATAAGTCGTAATTAGCATGTGAACAATTAGTTGTGACCAAAACATGAGGTGCGTTAGCTTGACTTTTCTTCTTTTACCACCTACATCAATTTTTGTTCTTCCTTGAATCAAAAACATATGAGAACTAAATCTGAAGAAACTCTTTCAAGGTGTTTGCGATATCCTGGAACGAGAAGGATCGGCACATATAACGAAGCAACTAGCAACCTTTAACCATAATGCCTTTAGACATGGTTGTTTAGCACAGAGGCATGAAATCATGTTCATACTTCTTGTTTAACCATGGATTCACAAAAAATGCAAACATGCCTCTTTTCAGATCTCCTTCTGTGTCTCTCTCCCTTTCATTCACTCTCTATTAGTCAGCTCAACCATTCTTTAGATGCTTTCCATTCTCCGAGGGTGGCGAGGACAGAAACTGTTGATGTTTTCCTGTGTTTCTTTCAATTGTATCTGTTTTGAGGCTTTGAAACTGAAGTGAAGGACAGTCTCATTCAATTTCTACTCATCTCCAGCTCAGCTTACAAGAAGCTGGCAGCAGCTGAAACACTCAGCTGATCAGCTGGTTTGTCATCCCGCTTCTCAGAGTGGCGGCGGTATTAACGTTTGAAGTGAACATTAGCACAAATGTGTATTAATTGGCTGTGTGACTCTATCCACCATCTTCAATCCTCATTAGTCAACATATGACAGGCCGGGACACAGAAACTAAATTAGTTAGAAAATGATGTTAACCTGCACCACCAAATGAATTATGGAGAGAAACAGAACACATGTAAAGTCTCTGTATTACAATACACATAAAAAACTGTGCAAAAGTCTCATTTCTTTACATATCACTCAAGATCACTTAAAAAAACAAAACAAAAGATCAGCTGGCTCATTGGAAGCAAGATCTAAGAAATAGAGGTGGTTGAGAAGATCATCTCAACCAATGGGTATTAACTTCACACCTGCGGTAACAGCTGTTGGAGAAACAAGGATTGATTGGGTTACTTTTGCAAATGCTGGGCTGCAATGTTGGTGCTAAATTTACCCAAATTTTGTAAAATATTCAGTCATTTTATTATGCTCTTAAATACAATTTGTTACTTGTGTGTGTGTGTGTGTGTGTGTGCGCGTGTGTCCTCACCTGTCTGATAATACTCTTGACACACGGCAACGGGAGACCTTGGTAGTTGGATTTAATAATCCATTTCAGCAGGTGATGACCCAGCACTTCAAACACCATACAAACGTCTGCAACTGGGAGTTAAGGACTCACATCATCACATCTCTGTCCTTTCCATATATCCAAACATGCACACGCACGCTTCTTGATTAGGATACGTATCCCGTTGACTCCTGAAATCTTGAAGTCATCTATCAGCTGTACCACCATATCCTTATTGGGATCGCTGGGGTCACTCTCTCTCACCTGCCGGACAAGACGGATAATGAGATATGGTAAACATCTCAGGAGGGACAAAAAGAGAATGACCCTGACAATAGGAGGATGAAGAGAGAAGAAAAACAAAGGAAAAAGGCCTGGAAGATAGGAAAGGAGGAAAAATACTCGAGCACGAGCAAATGTGAACAGAGGAAAGAAAAAAGACAGGAAAGATGGATGTGGAAGATAAAGCTGCTGAACACCAGATTATAAGAGGCCTGACTTCTTCACCTATCATGCAAGACAACTTGTAAGTGTATATTTAAAGTCAAAGGAAAGAATGGAAGGGTGACGTAAGGACAGGAGCTATGGGGAAAAATGGCAATGGATGCAAAAATCGCTGAGAGTTATAATAAGAAGCAAGAACAGACGGAAAGACAAAATTAAGATGAGAAAATCCAAAAAAAGCGAAAATGTCAAATTAATCAGATTCTCACACATCGCAGCAGTTTGATCTCATCCAGGGCCGTCTCTGTGTAATGCTGAGCGCTCTTCACCACCTTCATCGCCACAAAGTTCTTCACTCTGTAATGCCACACGCACACACGCATCATTTTTATTTTATAGTGACTCACACGCTAACAGGTTGTTGAAGCCAGCAAAGCTGATTAATGCCACCCCGTGAGAGAGATGAAAATAGGAATCACCGACTGAACCAAGTATTAACGAGCAACGTCAGCCTAGGCTTTGCTGGTTGTCATTTACACTACCCACACTGCCACTGGAAATGCATATGGATGAGCTGTGTGGCATTTAATTAACATTAAACAATCTTAACATTGTGAAATAGCACAACACTGACACGCCTCTTTGTCTTCCTCACGGCCCACATTTAAACTCTTTGTAATCAGGTTATCATGCTGAATATATTCAGTTATTACCATCTAACCACGTTCTGTTACATTATTTCAGAACATTTGGCGTCTATTGCTTCATTTAGCCATTTTTCAAAGAAATCAATATTTGCTAGCTGTAGACTGAAGTGAGTAAATCCTTTGTGCTTTGTTTTGTTACAAAGTGAACAGGCACAGTCTGAACTGGAGACAAACCAACTTCAGATTTCACTTCACATTAATGGTAGCGTGTTTCAATACGAGCAGATGAAAAAGAAGAGTGGAATTTCTCACCTACGCCTATACTGCTCTCATAAAAACTGCTAAATGTTGACCTGACATTCATTGTGCATTTACACGGTGCACTATAGAGATTGCACAGGCCCATTAAAGAGGAGCGCTGCACTACAATGTTATCCTATGCCTTCTGTTTCCTGAACTATGGAAACAATTCCTGGAGAAAGGACGAAACAAAAACACTGAAAGAACAGAACAGAAAACATGCACTTCAGAAGCCACGAGTCAGCGATCTAAAGAGAACAGAGAAACGCATCTCATCAGGCAACAGCATGCATTCATATATTCAGTGAAAAATTCAGTGGAAAAGCAACAATTCATAAAAAGAGAATGAGTGGTGAGTAATGCACATCTAAGACTGAGAGATGGGGAAAAAAGAGGTTTATTCCTCTGATATTGATTCATGTGTGGATTGCTGTATGTTTCAAAACATGTATTGTGCTGTTTATGACACATTGATGGCCTCAGCCACTCCAGCTCTGTCCTAGCCAGTCCCCTAGAGTAGAGGACCAGAGGAGGTGGGTAAGAGGAGGACGTTAGCCAAGCTAATCTCCATTGCGGGCAACAGCCGCTCCCCCTCCATGTGACTGTAGCGGCCCTGAGCAGCTCCTTCAGCAGTACACTGTTACAGCCACCGTGTAGGACGGAGCGCTATTGAGGTCCGTCATCTCGACACAATTCACACTGTAAAATATGCACACCTGATAAACACCTGCTAAAAATATATTTTATTCCAACTGCATTTTGTGTATATATAAAAAAAATCTTTTTTTATATTTTTCTTAGTGTGGGAAAAGGTTATCATGGTTAACTCAAACTAAACTAAAAAAGACAAAAAACGATTTCAAAATACAAACCTATAATAACTCCGATGTGGGGTTAATAAAGTTTATACATATCTCTTCAAAATGACATACAGTGAAAGGTCAGTATTTGTTGGGGACCGTCCCTACAGTAACCCAACTCGCTAGCTTATGACCACCATTAGTGTAATTAACACTGGTGAATAAATTAGTTGGTGTGTATGTGTGCGAATCACTGAAAGGTGACACTGGGCTGATGATACCGTTAACCATCCACCTCGGTTGCCTTGTCAACACACAAACAACATCACAGTGTAAATAGATGGCTTAGATGCCAGCACAGGGTGGTGTTGCTTGCAGCTGCCATTGTGGTGACGTGCCAAATGTGGTCGAAAAAGGGCATATGCAGTGCAGACGGCTTATGTGAGGCAAGCGGATGAGAACAAGCGTTGCTGTGCACGGGTGTGAACGAGAGGTTAGGAGTATACGAGCGCTCTCTTTTTTCCTAGATCAAGTGTTGTGGTTGATGTGTGTGTGGTTAGTGTGTGTGTGTGTGTGTGTGTGTTTATGTGTGTGTGTGCGCACACAAGAGAAACATGAAGCAGAATCTGAAAGCCTTTGCTGTATATAAACATTAATGTGTGACTCACTGGATGTCCCAGCATAGCCATACGGTGGAGAAGTGGCCCCACCCCAACTTCCTGATCACATGGTACCTCCCGTTGAACAAATCCCCGATCTTCACCGGATGGTACCCTCCTGAGAGAGAAAGGGGAAGGAGAACATGAAGGTTACAGTCGATAACCCTGCCATGACATGAAATCCATTAGCGAGTAAGAAGTGGAGGTAGGCCAGCAGGTGCATGGAGGGAGGAAGGGTCAGACAGCCGATTTCGCACACGAACTCTGCAAAGTGGATGAAGTTTGAGCACCGTCTGAAGCTGCCCTTTCTCAAATGTGGCACACGACAAGAGATTCTCTATGTCGCACACATTCACACCTGGAGAAACTCCAAGTTTAGGCAAGAGGAAAGAGCGTGCAGGAGGCTGCTCAGCTCTAGATTCTCACCTCTTCTATTCTCACATGGGCCGAGGGAAAAAAGAAGGTTTGGAGTTTTTTGAAATAGCAAAGCAGCAGGAAAGCACAGCAAAGCACATTTTACAGCCGGATGGGATCTATTTTTGACTATATATGTATATTTGATTAGATTATTCTGTTTTCTCTCTGTATCATGGATATATGTTTTGTTTTTTACAGTCTATTTAACATTGTGTGCACGTGCCCAGGGACCGCTGATATAAATATCTAGCTGCTAAACCCGGTAAAAGGTATATTTACTCCTATGAGATCAACCTTTTTTGTGCATGGTCGCTGAAAAGTAAAGAAAATGAACTAAAGCTAAACGAAGCTATACACAAATACACAATACAGAGACAAATGAAAAACTTGATTTAAAATCTATAAAATTAGAACATTTGTCTTGACTTAAATCAATTTTTGCCAGGTAAAGCTTGCTAAGGCAAACCCAGTCTAACACAAGCTGGAATAAATCCTTCAGTTTTTGCTTAAAGTGTCGTTCACAGCTTTGCTTTCCTTAAATGCACTTTATGGGTCTGGTTGTACTGCATTATGCAGCAAGGTGTTTCTGAAGGCTATAATAATGTATTGCAGGATTGCCATATTAATTCATTTAGTAAGGTGTACCTAATGTCATGGCAAATGAGTGTAACCAATTCCTCAAGTCATTACTGAGTCAGTTGAATTAAAGCGCTTAATATTTGCTGGTTCCAGCTTCTAGTGCTTCAACAGTGTTACTCACCAAAGCATTCCTAAGCAACACTACCTCACAGCTTTTCTTGAGTCATTAGGTTTCAGGTCAGCCTTGACATTTTCAATGAAACTAAACATTTCTTATAAACACAAAGTGCTGTATTCACTTTTCCTAAATGGGTTAAAAAGTGCACCGAGTGCTTTAAAAGTCCTTTAAAAGGTTCAGACGTAAAATTGAAAAGAAGCCAAACAACATAAACGAGATGTGATCTTTCCTCTTTTCTTTTTGTCTTTCATCTCACTGAAGTGAGATCTGACGCTTCGACTGTGCTTCTTCCAAAACACTTTCTAAACACAGTGAAAGAAGCCATCTGGGAAAAAAGGAGAAAAGTTTCACTTGAAGTGATGTTCATGGTATGTGATCGAAACATGTTGAGGTGTACTGATTAAAGTGAAATACAATTTTACAGAGTGATGCACCATTTTGAAACGTGGCTGCGTTATAATTAATGCTTTGAATGTTGTAAAGCTGCCTTTGTCCTCCTGAGCTGTGGCAGGAAACTCGGTTCATCTCTGACATTTTGGTAAAAGCCGAGCAATTCTGAATTGGCTGTTATAATGTCTGCAAACATGAACTGCTAATCCCATCAGGATGGAACTCTGGAGAAATAAGGTAGGAAGACGAGCCGGTGAAGACGGTGTGGGCCAGGGAGGCCAGCGCAGAGCTCCATAAGACAGAAGTGTGGGCTGGGACAGACGTGCGCATGTGACTGACCTTTGCAGTAGTCCGCGGGGTCCTCCTGCTCCTCATCGTCGGAGCCCAGGATCTCCTCCTCCGGCTCTGGGGGCCCAGCCGGCTCAGGGGGAGGTGGAGGGGGCGGCGGGGGAGGAGGAGCAGTCACCGGGGCTTTCTGCTGGGTGTCAGGCCTGTGAACACAACAGTGACACCAACGTTGGAAAGCTTTTCACCAGAAATCTGCCTTTCGTCTACACATTTAACTTTTTAGTATTTTATGGGGTTTTTTAAGCTATGAATCACAGTGAGCACTACAGTGGCCTGAACGTTAAGTGCAGATGACTAATAGTAGAATAATAACTTGTGACATTTTCATACATATAAAATGTCAGCCCCGGAAGTGTTGCTGATTGGCATCGGCACCGAGTTCATGAAAGCTTTTAGATTTGATGTAACGAACAAACTGTGCCAGACGGCTCGTGACGCCGCGTGACGTGTTGCACGTCTGCTTTTGGAATAAATAAAAGACCAACGACAGCAAGCATGAACATCAAAAATCAGCGTTGCACAACATTTCAAGAGTAAGTCCGCTGTCTGTAGCATGTGAGAAGCAATATCAGGCAATCATGTTCCAGCAAAAACAATCAAATGATATACAGTAAAGCATTTTCTGCATCACAAGCCCCTTATTTACTTTTAATACAGTTTAAAAAAATGTCTAAAGGCCTGTGAAGCAAAGAGGCCAAAACAAACTGCAAGTAATTTTAATGACGTGACAATTATTATTACCTCTGTAATTCAGTTTCAGTTTCAAACACAATGAACTAAAAAAAACAACCTTAAACTAGAAAATCTTAACTTGTATTCATATATATAATTATTTACTCATTTGCATTGATTATAATTAAAAAATACTCTTAAACTGTAAACAACTGTGAAATCAATGATGACTAAACACACGAATAAATATATACACATTTTTTTTAACATTATTTTTTAAACAGCTTATTCATTTATTAAAAATTATCTTTTTTTACATTTATACATAGAATAAAAGCTTAATAAGATATTTAGATTGTTTTATTTGCACTGAATAGGACTGCGTATACTTTTCTTGTGCTTTTGAAATAATGAAGATTTCGATTCTGTATAAAGTTATCAGTCAGTCTAAACCATTGGACAGATATTTTTTATAGCTCAAACACAGTCAACTATAGCCAATCACATTTATCCTCAGACACAAATCTGCAGAAAAAAATTAATGTTTCCCCTCCAATAAAGCTTTAAATCCTGGAAAAATATAGTGCCGAATAGAAACAGTCAATAGGTCAGACAAAGTTTGCTCCTAGGGTCATTTCCACAGTCACTTCTTTCAGTTAACAACCTTGTTCCACTTCCTTTCCCTTGTCTAAAACAGAACTGAACCCATGAGAGGGAGAAACGCTAAATAGGTTGCAGGACACAGGCTGACTTATTCTCCTGGCTTGGCTACATTTTGAGCATTTAGCTGGCACACTTATCCAGGGCACGGAACAATAACTGATCACAAAGTTTTCACCGTTTTGCTTTGGGACCCTGCTATGGCGCATGTGGCTGTTTGTGTAGATTTTGAGCACATGCCTGCAATATTTCTGTACTGGGAAGGTTCCACTAAATCAGCGCCAAACCGACACTTTTTGTGCCATGCATCAGTCTGTTTTTTTCAAGCTAATGTACAGAACATAAGACATTTTGTATGTGTCATTTTTCTCTGTCGAATTAATGCACAATCCTTTTGTAGTTTAGTGCAAAACACACACAGAGAAGTACAAAACACGAGTCAAATGCACAAAAGGAAAAAAAGAGTTTGTAAAGAGTTACTTATTTCACAAATGAAACAGCTACAGAGCTTAATTCTGGGCCAGCTGTATGAAAGTCTAATATTGAGTCTGCTTCTGACCTCTAAAATCTCATGAAATAACTGGCTCTGTAATAGCTAAACATCTCCATTTTTTAATTTTGGACTTGGACAGGTAGCGTGCAGCAAGAGTTTCACAGATTTCTTGCTGAAACTGTTGCCATCTATGGCCAATAAGAGCAGCGAGAGTGAACCAAAAACAGTAAAGTTGAGGCCTGAAGAAGCTAAACAATGATGTGAAGCGATAAAACTCTGAAAAGATGTTTAAATATTGTGCTGAGCTAACATAATGTTATATAGCCACCATACCATATGGCATGCTGTGTGGCACAGTGTGAACAGCAAAGCTGGAGCTCTTCAAACTTCTGCCAACACAATGCTGCTGCTGCTAGTGCGAGGAGAAAGACAGACACCACATCTGACTAAATAACTGGATTTTAGTTACATATAGCTTTATATAGATATGTATAAAAATGGGAGAGCTTCTTCTAGACAGCGATTTGTGTCTCCTCTCTGTCTCAAAATGGGGCATGTTATTCAAATATGTTCACTACTACACTATGGAGCCAGGACTAGTATTAGCACACATGAACACAAAATGTATTAAACTGTCTGAGTAGAGGGGAGATTGATTCAAGGCGGGTTGATCTTAAAACATTTTTTAAGATCAACAATCTTACAAATCAGTAAACAGCAATAAATAAATAAAATGATAAATGTACATTAGCTAACATAAAAGCATTCTACGAATACAAATTTCTGTCTGCTTATGCGTGGCAGTTTATGTCCATTTCATCTGAAACCAAACAGCAACCAATAACCATCAGTGCAAAAACTACAGTTCCCCTAGTGGTCACTTCATACAAAAACATTTTGGCGTCTATGCAGTTTCCTCCCTCAGAACCACACCACCGTGTGTGAAGTCATCCAACCCAATACTGGTGTTTGATGAAGAAGCTCCCAGTTACAGTGGTACCAGTGTTGCCAACTTAGCGACTTTGTCACTATATTTAGCTAGTTTTCAGACCCCCTTAGCGACTTTTCTCTTATTCAGTCAGTTCTTCTTTTACTGTTATGCTGTTTTGTCGATCACAAGGTTTAAAACTACTAATAAACAAACACACACACACAAAGTAACTACTCCAGAGGGCCAATTTCGGGTCACTTTTGCTGGTCCAAGCCAAAGCAGCAGGGTTGGAATTGTGACATTACAAAAAACAATAATTGCTAAAATAAATTTAATTTGTAGTTCTAAATAAATTCTAAATGCATTTAGGACGTTTTTTACTCACTCTATGTCTCTTCCACGATGTTATTTCTCTCTCCAACAACCTAGGTTACAATTACATTAGCATGTCCAATTATGCAAATTAGGCTATGACGTCATTTAGCGACTTCTAGCGACTTTTAGGACAACCAATAGCGATTTTCCTTACTGAGGAGTTGGCAACACTGGTGCTACACACCGAAAGCGATAGAAGCAACCAAAGAGTCAGGTTTACATGTAAAGTCAATGGAGGAGCGCGATGAAGCGCGACTGCGGGTCCCGCGACAAATCAGAAGCAGATTTGCGTAGCGAAAACGCTTTTCTGTCTGATTCGCGCGAACAATTAGCGCGACTAAAAAATATGCGCTGCATTTTATGTGGTTCATTTTGTGCATTCGCGCTTATAGCATCTGCTGCTCAAGTTGGAAAAATATGAACTCCAGTCTAGTCGCACCACGACAACCAACCAGGTAATGGAGTCACAGCATCAGCAGGGCATGGATACTGATAAACACCTGAGCTACATGACACCAGCTGTTCTCTATACAGAGACAGGAATTAAAAAAAATAAACATACATATGCAACATGCTGGGATTAGACAAAAAAAAACAAACCTTCACTCACTATTATCAGTGCTAGGAAAAGGGAGTGAAAAATCTGCACTTAATCTTTATTTTTCTTCGGAAGCTTTGCCTTGTAGAGAGCTCGCTGTTTGAATGATATCTCTGGAAAACTGAATTAGACATCAAAGCAGAGGCCAGCAGAAGCCAAAACACTTTGTAGTCAGCATCACCTCACGGTACCTTCAGCATGATCAGATGCTAAAATTAAGGCGAAAAAAAAAAACGAAACAAACCAACAAACACACAAAGCCGTAGCTTGTGAGCCGTTATAAAAATGTGGTCACAGGCAGAGACACATGATGGAGCCTCTTGGTATGTTGCCACGGCAACTGTAGAGCAAGGAGGGGTGGTGAGTTGGTGGTACTCCGGGACTCAAAGCGTTGATGAGATTGGCCAAAACACATGCATGCATACACAGATACACCGTGACAGCTAAAGGTGACAGATAACTTGGCATTGAAATTTGATTAGTATTTTACAGCTGTCTCTCTCTTACACACGCACACACAAGCAGTCGAAGGCTGTGTCCTTGCAGTAGGATGCTACTTCTTTATCAAAGCAGTCACGTAGAGTGTCGTACATCACATCTATAAGCTCAGTGCTTTTATACGGCCCATCTTGCCATTGGCTGCACAAACACTTAGCCCCCATAACTTTCTGGAGCTGAGCCAGGCAGTAAAAACACAAAGAGCAGAGACGCCAGAGTCTGAAAGACGGGCAGAGGAGAAACCATGACAGAATACAGAAGTAACCAGCAGACAGAAAAAAACACAAAAACAAGAAACAAAGAAAAAAAAGAATCAGAAAGGTGAGACGAAAAAATAAGGAAGAGAAATAAACAGAGACCGAGAGGCAAAGCAAGAGGCAGACAGCCAGAGGGACAGAAAAGGCAGGGAGACAGTCAAACAGATTATGCAGGCAGTGCAGAGACTGATATGGAGAGACAGATGAGAGACATATAGAAGAAGAAGGTTCAGCAGAGAGAGAAACAGGCAAACATAAGCAGGGACAGAAAAATAGAGGCAGAAAGAGAGAAGAAGGCCGACAACAAGAGAAGTTAATCTGAACAAAATGGAGACATAAACAGAGAAAAACTGAGAGTGAGAAGAGAGCAGCTCAAAGAAAGGAAAAAGACAAACAGCCTTGTCCTTCAACACCAAAATGCAGCTAAAGTCATTACTGCCAAAGACACGCACACTCTGATATTTGTGTGCTTTTTAAGTAAAAAGTGAATTTACACAACATTCTGATCTTTATTTTTGTTATTACTGCCTAAGTTGTCCGTAACATTACTGTAAAACGTCTGTAAACTATGTGCCACATCTGGCATTTTAAATGAGTGACTCTTATCCAATAAGTGTCCAGGGGTATCAGGCCAACCAGTCAGCTGTGATTAGTCTCCT